TGTGTTTGTATTTTTTACAGATCTTTTCCTGTAATTGATATCTAGTCTCATGGTGTTGTGGTCGGAAAAGATACTTGATACGATTTCAGTTTTCTTAAATTTACCAAGGCTTGATTTGTGACCCAAGATATGATCTGTCCTGGAGAATGTTCCATGAGCACTTGAGAAAAATGTGTATTCTGTTGTTTTTGGATGGAGTGTCCTATAAATATCAATTAAGTCCATCTTGTTTAATGTATCATTTGAAGCTTGTGTTTCCTTATTTATTTTCATTTTGGATGATCTGTCCATAGGTGAAACTGGGGTGTTAAAGTCCCCTACTATGAATGTGTTACTGTCGATTTCCCCTTTTATGGCTGTTAGTATTTGCCTTATGAATTGAGGTGCTCCTATGTTGGGTGCATAAATACAATTGTTATATCTTCCTCTTGGATCGATCCCTTGATCATTATGTAGTGTCCTTCTTTGTATCTTCTAATAGTCTATTTCAAAGTCTATTTTGTCTGATATGAGAATTGCTACTCCAGCTTTCTTTTGGTTTCCATTTGCATGGAATATCTTTTTCTATCCCCTTACTTTCAGTCTGTATTTGTCTCTAGGTCTGAAGTGGGTCTCTTGTAGACAGCATATATATGGGTCTTGTTTTTGTATCCATTCAGCCAATCTGTGTCTTTTGGTGGGAGCATTTAGTCTACTTACATTTAAGGTAATTATTGATATGTTCCTATTCCCATTTTCTAAATTGTTTTGGGTTCATTATTATAGGTCTTTTCCTTTTCTTGTGTTTCTTGCCTAGAGAAGTTCCTTTAGCATTTGTTGTAAAGCTGGTTTGGTGGTGCTGAACTGTCTCAGCTTTTGCTTGTCTGTAAAGGTTTTAATTTCTCCATCAAATCTGAATGAGATCCTTGCTGGGTAGAGTAGTCTTGGTTGCAGGTTTTTCTCCGTCATCACTTTCAGTATGTCCTGCCACTCCCTTCTGGCTTTCAGAGTTTCTGCTGAGAGATCAGCTGTTAACCTTATGGGGATTCCCTTGTGTGTTATTTGTTTTTCGCTTGCTGCTTTTAATATGCTTTCTTTGTATATAATTTTTGACAGTTTGATTAATATGTGTCTTGGCATATTTCTCCTTGGATTTATCCTGTATGGGACTCTCTGTGCTTCCTGGACTTGATTAACTATTTCCTTTCCCATATTAGGGAAGTTTTCAACTATAATCTCTTCAAATATTTTCTCAGTCCCTTTCTTTTTCTCTTCTTCTTATGGAACCCCTATAATTCAAATGTTGGTGCGTTTAATGTTATCCCAGAGGTCTCTGAGACTGTCCTCAGTTCTTTTCATTCTTTTTTCTCTATTCTGCTCTGCAGTAGTTATTTCCACTATTTTATCTTCCAGGTCACTTATCCGTTCTTCTGCCTCAGTTATTCTGCTATTGATCTCATCTAGAGTCTTTTTCATTTCATTTATTGTGTTGTTCTTCATTGTTTGTTTCATCTTTAGTTCTTCTAGGTCCTTGTTAAATGTTTCTTGCATTTTGTCCATTCTATTTCCAAGATTTTGGATCATCTTTACTATCATTATTCTGAATTCTTTTTCAGGTAGACTGCCTATTTCTTCTTCATTTGTTAGGTCTGGTGCATTTTTATCTTGCTCCTTCATCTGCTGTGTGTTTTTCTTTCTTCTCATTTTGCTTATCTTACTGTGTTTGGGGTCTCCTTTTTGCAGGCTGCAGGTTCGTAGTTCCCATTGTTTTTGATGTCTGTCCCCAGTGGCTAAGGTTGGTTCAGTGGGTTGTGTAGGCTTCCTGGTGGAGGGGACTAGTGCCTGTGTTCTGGTGGATGAGGCTGGATCTTGTCTCTCTAGTGGGCAGGTCCACGTCTGGTGGTGTGTTTTGGGGTGTCTGTGGACTTATTATGATTTTAGGCAGCCTCTCTGCTAATGGGTGGGGTTGTGTTCCTGTTTTGCTAGTTGTTTGGCATAGGTTGTCCAGCACTGTAGCTTGCTGGTCATTGAGTGAAGCTGGGTGCTGGTGTTGAGATGGAGATCTCTGGGAGATTTTCACCGTTTGATATCATGTGGAGCTGGGAGGTCTCTTGTTGACCAGTGTCCTGAAGTTGGCTCTCCCACCTCAGAGGCACAGCACTGACTCCTGGCTTCAGCACCAAGAGCCTTTCATCCACACGGCTCAGAATAAAAGGGAGAAAAAGTAGAGAGAATTAGTAGAAGTAGGAAGGAAGAAAGAAAGAAAGAAAGGAGGGAAGGAAGGAAGAAAGAAAGAAGGAAAGAAAGGAGGGATGGAGGGAGGAAGGAAGGAAGGAAGGGGGAAGGAAGGAAAAAAAGAAAAGAAGATACAGTAAAATAAAATAAAGTTATTAAATTAAAAAATAATTATTTAGAAAAAAAAGGGGGGACGGATAGAACCTTAGGACAAATGGTGGAAGCAAAGCAATACAGACAAAATCTTACACAGAAGCATACACATACACCCTCACAAAAAGAGGTAAAGGGGGAAAAAATCATAAATCTTGCTCTCAAAGTCCACCTCCTCAATTTGGGATGATTCGTTGTCTAAAGGAGGGAGGGAGGGAAGGAAGGAAGGAAGGAAGGAAGGGAAAGAAAGAAGGTAAAGTATAATAAAGTTATTAAAATTATTAAGAAAAAAAATTAAAATAAAAAACGGACAGATAGAACCCTAGGACAAATGGTAGAAGCAAAGCTATACAGACAAAATCTCACACAGAAGCATACACATACACACTCACAAAAAGAGGAAAAGGAGAAAAAATAGATCTTGCTCTCGAAGTCCACCTCCTCAATTTGGGATGACTCGTTGTCTATATTCATGTATTCCACAGATGCAGGGTACATCAAGTTGATTGTGGAGCTTTAATCCGCTGCTTCTGAGGCTGCTGGGAGGGATTTCCCTTTCTCTTCTTTGTTCTCACAGCTCACAGGGGCTCAGCTTTGGATTTGGCTCCGCCTCTGCGTGTAGGTCGCTTGGAGGGCATCTGTGTTTTGCTCAGACAGGACGGGGTTAAAGGAGCCGCTGATTCGGGGGCTCTGGCGCACTCAGGCCGGGGAGAGGGAGGGGCACGGCGTGCGGGGCGGGCCTGCGGCGGCAGAAGCCAGCGTGACATTGCATCAGCCTGAGGCCCGCTGTGCGTTGTCCCGGGAAAGTTGTCCCTGGATCCCGGGAACCTGGCAGTGGCGGGCTGCACAGGCTCCCCGGAAGAGGGGTGTGGATAGGGACTTGTGCTCGCACACAGGCCCCATCGTGGCGGCAGCAGCAGCCTTAGCGTCTCCCGCCCGTCTCTAGGGTCCGTGCTTTTAGCCGCGTCTCCCACCCGTCTCGGGTCCGCGCTTTTAGCCGCGCCTCGCGCCCGTCTCTGGGGTTCGCGCTTTTAGCCGCGGTTTGCGGCCGTCTCTGGAGTTCCTTTAAGCAGCGCTCTTAAACCCCTCTCCTCGCGCATCAGGAAACAGAGGGAAGAAAAAGTCTCTTGCCTCTTAGGCAGCTCCAGACCTTTTCCCGGCCTCCCTTCCGGCTAGCCGTGGTGCACTAACCCCTTCAGGCTGTGTTCACGCTGCCAACCCCAGTCCTCTCCCTGCGCTCCGCCCAAAGCCCGAGCCTCAGCTCGCAGCCCCGCCCAACCCAGCGGGTGAGCAGACAAGCCTCTCGGGCTGGTGAGTGCCGGTCGTCACCGATCCTCTGTGCGGGGAATCTCCCAGCTTTGCCCTCCGCACCCCTGTGGCTGTGCACTCCTCCGCGGCTCTGAAGCTCCCCCCTCCGCCTCCCGCAGTCCGCCCGCGAAGGGGCTTCCTAGTGTGTAGAAACCTTTCCTCCTTCACAGCTCCCTCCCACTGGTGCAGGTTCCGTCCCTATTCTTTTGTCTCTGTTTATTCTTTTTTCTTTTGCCCTACCCAGGTACGTGGGGAGTTTGTTGCCTTTTGGGAGGTCTGAGGTCTTCTGCCAGCGTTCTGTAGGAGTTGCTCCACGTGTAGATGTATTTCTGGTGTATTTGTGGGGAGGAAGGTGATCTCCGCCTCTTACTCATCCGCCATCTTCCCTTCCACCGCCTTCTGTCGGTTTTATATGAAATACAGTCCCTCAGTATCTGAGAGGGATCATTTCCAGTACCCCCTGTGGATACCAAAAATGCACCAGTCCCCTACAGTTAGCCTTCCCATTCCCATCTGCAGATTCAGCCGACCACAGGTCGTGTAGTATTTTCAATCCATGGTTGGTTGAACCCATGGATGTAGAGGGCCCATTGTATACCGTAAGGCTCTTGACCTAGAAATGGATTCCTTTCTGTGTTATTTGGTCTGACACAGTGGTTGCTCTTTAATGTTACATCTCTATTTTTGTCTCCCTTTTTCTTTAGAAACCATCTTAACTTTTCCTTTCAAGTTCACCTGCCCATTACAAGTTAAAACTTAAAACATGCATTTACTTAGAATCAAAATCCTCTCTTTAGCCAATGCTCTTAATCTTGAATGGGACATATGTGTGAAGGAAATAGAAGATATGTCAAGGGTCAAGTGGCATCTCCTAGAAGCATTTAGAGGATCACTCTTATAGGCCAGGGGGCCTGTGACGTTTGGAATGGTTAGCTTTTGCAGAATGCTTTGGAAAACACATCTCAAACCAGTCTTTTTGAGTGTGAAAACTGACACAGTTGACTCCCGCACGGTCCTCTGTTGAAGCGTTCTTCTTATCTAGGGTTGTGAATAGAGGTAGGCACTAACTTGGAATTGTGGGTCTGGGGTTTTAAGTTGCCAGATGGACTCATCACATGAGATGTATTTTATAAAGAGAGTAAAACTTCCAATTGTTCTGATAGTTGTCTTCTATTAAGCCATTTTTAGAAATTACTACAGTTGAACCAGTAATTGAGAAGAGGAGTTCTCCCTTTGGGAAAACTGACCTTTTGAATAGAATTCAGTCAAATGTTGATGTGACTTTTTAAATTTGAGGTCCCATTTTCCTTCATCTTTTTTTCTAGCCCCATCCCGGAAGTCGGTTTTGACAGACCCAGCCAAACTCAAGAAGCTGCAGCAGAGCGGTGAGGCCTTTGTGCAGGACGACTCTTGCGTGAACATCGTTGCGCAGCTGCCCAAGTGCCGGGAGTGTCGCTTGGACAGCCTCCGAAAGGATAAGGAGCAGCAGAAAGACTCGCCCGTGTTTTGCCGCTTCTTTCACTTCAGGAGGTGAGCCATTTGGGGAAAAGCTGAGATACCCTGGGCCCTATAGTGTACTTTTCTCTCTCTTCTCCTAGCAACAGTAAGTCTAAAACTGAAAAGAGTACAGATTACACTTTTTAATCTGTGGATTTAGGAATCTAGATCTTATTACACATTCTTTCCTTCTCATTCTCCTTTTCAGGTTTTTTTTAAAGCAAAGAAGCTTAAAAATATAAATTTCCATTTTTTTTAACATCTTTATTGGAGTATAATTGCTTTACAGTGTTGTGTTAGTTTCTGCTGTATAACAAAGTGAATCAGCTATATGCATACGTATATCCCCATATCGCCTCCCGCTTGTGTCTCCCTCCTACCCTTCTTATCCCACCCATCTAGATGGTCGCAAAGTACCGAGCTGATCTCCCTGTGCTATGCGGCTGCTTCCCACTAGCTATCTATTTTACATCTGGTAGTGTATATTTGTCAGTGCTACTTTCTCACTTTGTCCAAGCTTACCCTTCCCCCTCCCCGTGTCCTCAAGTCCATTCTCTACATCTGTATCTTTATTCCTGTCCTGACATTAGGTTCATCAGAACCGTATTTTTTTTTGAGATTCCATATATATGTGTTAGCATACGGTATTTGTTTTTCTCTTTCTGACTGCACTCTGTATGACAGACTGTACGTCCATTCACCTCATTACAAATAACTCAATTTCGTTTCTTTTTATGGCTGAGTAATATTCCATTGTGTATACGTGCCACATCTTCTTTATCCATTCATCTGTCAGTGGACACTTAGGTTGCTTCCATGTCCTGGCTATTGTAAATAGTGCTGCAGTGAACATTGTGGTACATGACTCTTTTTGAATTATGGTTTTCTCAGGGTATATGCCCAGTAGTGGGATGGCTGGGTCGTATGGTAGTTCTATTTTTAGTTTTTTAAGGAACCTCCATACTGTTCTCCATAGTGGCTGTATCAATTTACATTCCCACCAACAGTGCAAGAGGGTTCCCTTTCCTCCACACCCTCTCCAGCATTTATCGTTTGTAGATTTCTTGATGATGGCCATTCTGACCAGTGTGAGGTGATACCTCATTGTAGTTTTGATTTCCACTTCTCTAATGATTAGTGATGTTGACCATCTTTTCATGTGTTTGTTGGCAATCTGGATATCTTCTTTGGAGAAATGTCTGTTTAGGTCTTCTGCCCATTTTTGGATTGGGTTGTTTGTTTTTTTGTTATTGAGCTGCTTGTATACTTTGGAGATCAATCCTGTGCCAGTTGCTTCATTTGCAAATATTTTCTCCCATTCTGAGGGTTGTCTTTTCGTCTTGTTTATGGTTTCCTATGCTGTGCGAAAGCTTTGAAGTTTCTTTAGGTCCCATTTGTTTATTTTTGTTTTTATTTCCATTTCTCTAGGAGGTAGGTCAAAAAGGATCTTGCTGTGATTTATGTCATAGAGTGTTCTGCCTGTGTTTTCTTTTAAGAGTTTTATAGTGGCCTTACATTTAGGTCATTAATCCATTTTGAGTTTATCTTTGTGTATGGTGTTAGGAAGTGTTCTAATTTCATTCTTTTATATGTAGCTGTCCAGTTTTCCCAGCACCACTTACTGAAGAGGCTGTCTTTTCTCCATTGTATATTCTTGCCTCCTTTATCAAAGATAAGGTGACCATATGTGCATGGGTTTACTCTGGGCTTTCTATCCTGTTCCATTGATTTATATTTCTGTTTTTGTGCCAGTACCATACTGTCTTGATTAGTGTAGCTCTGTAGTATAGTCTGAAGTCTGGCAGCCTGATTCCTCCAGCTCCATTTTTCTTTCTCAAGATTGCTTTGGCTCTTTGGGGTCTTTTGTGTTTCCATACAAGTTGTGCAATTTTTAAAATTATTATTATTATTTTTTGTGGTACGGAGGCCTCTCACTGCTGTGGCCTCTCCCATTGCGGAGCACAGGCTCCGGACGCACAGGCTCAGCGGCCATGGCTCATGGGCCCAGCCGCTCTGCGGCATGTGGGATCTTCCCGACTGGGGCACCGAACCTGCAACCTCTGTATTGGCAGGCGGACTCTCAACCACTGCACCACCAGGGAATCCCCAAGTTGTGCAATTTTTGGTTCTAGTACTGGGAAAAATACCATTGGTAGTTTGATAGGGATTGCACTGAATCTGTAGATTGCTTTGGGTAGTAGAGTCATTTTCACAGTGTTGATTCTTCCAATCCAAGAACATAGTATATGTCTCCATCTGTTTGTATCATCTTGAATTTCTTTCATCAGTGTCTTATAGTTTTCTGCATACAGGTCTTTTGTCTTCTTAGGTAGGTTTATTCCTAAGTATTTTATTATTCTTTTCGTTGCAATGGTAAATGGGAGTGTTTCCCTAATTTCTCTTTCAGATTTTTCATCATTAGTATACAGGAATGCAAGAGATTGCTGTGTGTTAATTTTGTATCCTGCTACTTTACCACATTCATTGATTAGCTCTAGTAGTTTTCTGGTAGCATCTTTAGGATTCTCTATGCATAGTATCATGTCATCTGCAAAAAGTGACAGTTTTACTTCCTTTCTGATTTGGATTCCTTTTATTTCTTTTTCTTCTCTGATTACTGTGGCCAAAACTTCCAAAACTATGTTGAATAATAGTGGTGAGAATGGGCAACCTTGTCTTGTTGCCCTGAGAAATGGTTTCAGTTTTTCATCATTTAGAACGATGTTGGCTATGGGTTTGTCATATATGGGCTTTATTATGTTGAGATAGGTTCCCTCTATGCCCACTTTCTGGAGAGTTTTTATCATAAATGGGTATTGAATTTTGTCAAAAGCTTTTTCTGCATCTCTTGAGATTATCATATGGTTTTTATCCTTCAGTTTGTTAATATGGTGTATCCCATGGATTGATTTGCGTATATTGAAGAATCCTTGTATTCCTGGGATAAATCCCACTTGATCACGGTGTATGATCCTTTTAATGTGCTGTTGGATTCTGTTTGCTAGTATTTTGTTGAGGATTTTTGCATCTGTGTTCATCAGAGATACTGGCCTGAAGTTTTCTTTTTTTGTGACATCCTTGTCTGGTTTTGGTATCAGCATGATGGTGGCCTCGTAGCATGAGTTTGTGAGTGTTCCTCCCTCTGCTATATTTTGGAAGAGTTTGAGAAGGATAGGTGTTAGCTCTTCTCTAAATGTTTGATAGAATTCACCTGTGAAGCCATCTGATCCTGGGCTTTTGTTTGTTGGAAGATTCTTAATCACAGTTTCAATTTCAGTGCTTGTGATTGGTCTGTTTATATTTTCTGTTTCTTTCTGGTTCAGTCTTGAAAGGTTGTGCTTTTCTAAGAAATTGTCTATTTCTTCCAGGTGGTCCATTTTATTGGCTTGTAGTAATCTCTCATGATCCTTTGTATTTCTGCAGTGTCAGTTGTTACTCCTCCTTTTTCATTTCTAATTCTGCTGATTTGAGTCTTCTCCCTTTTTTTCTTGATGCGTCTGGCTAATGGTTTATCAATTTTGTGTATCTTCTCAAGGAGCCAGCTTTTAGTTTTATTGAGCTTTGCTGTCCTTTCCTTCATTTCTTTTTCATTTATTTCTGATCTGATCTTTATGATATTTTTCCTTCTGCTAACTTTGGGGGGTTTTTGTTCTTCTTCCTTTAGTTGCTTTAGGTGTAAGATTAGGTTGTTTGAGATTTTTGTTGAGGTAGGATTGTATTGCTATAAACTTCCCTCTTAGAACTGCTTTTGCTGCATCCCATAGGTTTTGGGTTGTCCTGTTTTCATTGTCATTTGTTTCTAGCTATTTTTTGATTTCCTCGGTGATCTCTCAGTTATTTAGTAGTGTATTGTTTAGCCTCCATGTGTTTGTATTTTTTACAGTTTTTTTCCTGTAATTGATATCTAGACTCATAGTGTTCTGGTCGGAAAAGATACTTGATATGATTTTAATTTTCTTAAGTTTACCAAGGCTTGATTTGTGACCCAAGATATGATCTATCCTGGAGACTGTTCCATGAGCACTTGAGAAGAAAGTGTATTCTGTTGTTTTTGGATAGAATGTCCTATAAATATCAATTAAGTCCATCTTGTTTAATGTGTCATTTAAATTTTGTGTTTCCTTATTTATTTTCATTTTGGATCATCTGTCCATTGGTGAAAGTAGGATGTTCAAGTCCCCTCTTATTACTGTGTTACTGTCGATTTCCCCTTTTATGGCTGTTAGCATTTGCCTTATGTATTGAGGTACTCCTGTGTTGGGTGCATAAATATTTATAATTGTTATGTCTTTTTCTTGGATTGATTCCTTGATCATTATGTAGTGTCCTTCTTTATCTTTTGTAATAGTCTTTATTTTAAAGTCTATTTTGTCTGATATGAGAATTGGTACTCCAGCTTTCTTTTGATTTCCCTTTGCATGGAATATCTCTTTCCACCCCCTCACTTTCAGTCTGTATGTGTCCCTAGGTCTGAAGTGAGACTTTGTAGACAGCATATGTATGGGTCTTGTTTTTGTATCCATTCATCTGGTCTGTCTTTTGGTTGGAGTATTTAATTCATTTACATTTAAGGCGATTATTGATATGTATGTTTCTGTTACCATTTTCTTAATTGTTTTGGGTTTGTTTTTGTAAGTCTTTTCCTTCTCTTGTGTTTCCTGCCTAGAGAAGTTCTTTAGCATTTGTTGTAAAGCTGGTTTGGTAATGCTGAATTCTCTTAACTTTTGCTTATCTGTAAGGGTTTTAATTTCTCCATCGAATCTGAATGGGATCCTTGTTGGGTAGAGTAATCTTGGTTGTAAGTTTTTCCCTTTCATCACTTTAAATATGTCCTGCCACTCCCTTCTGGCTTGCAGAGTTTCTGCTGAAAAATCAGCTGGTAACCGTATGGGGATTCCCTTGTATGTTATTTGTTGCTTTTCCCTTGCTGCTTTTAATATTTTTCTTTGTATTTAATTTTTGATAGTTTGATTAATATGTGTCTCAGCGTGTTTCTCTTTGGATTTATCCTGTGTCGTACTCTCTGTGCTTCCCGGACTTGATTATTTCCTTTCCCATGTTAGGGAAGTTTTTGACTGTCATGTCTTCAGATATTTTCTCAGACCCTTTCTTTTTCTCTTCTTCTTCTGGGACCCGTATAATTTGAATGTTGGTGTGTTTAATGTTGTCCCAGAGGTCTCTGAGTCTGTCCTCAATTCTTTTCATTCTTTTTTCTTTATTCTGCTCCCTGCAGTTATTTCGACCATTTTACCTTCCAGCTCACTTATCCGTTCTTTTGCCTCAGTTATTCTGTTATTGATTCCTTCTAGAGTATTTCTAATTTCAGTAATTGTGTTGTTCATCACTGTTTGTTTGCTCTTTAGTTCTTCTAGATCCTTGTTAAATGTTTCTTGTATTTTCTCCATTCTGTTTCTGAGATTTTGGATCATGTTTACTATCATTAGTCTGAATTCTTTTTCAGGTAGGTTGCCTATTTCGTCTTCATTTATTTGGTCTTGTAGATTTTTACCCTGCTCCTTCGTCCGTAACGTATTTTTTTGTCGTTTCATTTTTTTTTTTTTTTTTTTTGATGGGTGGTGCTGTATTCCTGTCTTACTAGTTGTTTGGCCTGAGACGTCCAGCACTGGAGTTTGCAGGCAGTTGGATAGAGCTGGGGCTTGGTGCTGAGATGAGGACCTCTGGGAGGCCTCACTCCAGTCGATAATTCCCTGGAGTCTGAGGTTCTCTGTTAGTTTGGTGGTTTGGACTCGGAGCTCCCACCACAGGGCCCGACCTCCGGCCTGGGAATCACGATCCTGCAAGCATGTGGCAGGTGAAGTAGTGGTCCCTCAAAGACATGGACATCCAAATCCCTGAAACCGCCTGGCTGGTGTGCGGCGATGGGGACTGGAGCTGCTGGAGGGGCAGGGCAGTGGCCTGAGGAGCACAGGGCCGCCTGGTGTCTAAAGTTCTATTTTTAAAAGTAACAAACATAGAAAAATTCTGAAGGTTCTAAAACACCACCACAAATAACTACTGTTAACTTTTCAGTGCATTTTAGTGTTTACGTGGTCATAAAATATATTCAAGCATACCTACTTGGCATGTTGTGTATACTGTTTTTTTCTTTTTAATAAATTTATTTATCTATTTATTTTTGGCTTTGTTGGGTCTTTGTTGCTGCGCATGGGCTTTCTCTAGTTGCAGCGAGTGGGGTCTACTCTTTGTTGCAGTACGTGGGCTTCTCATTGTGGTGGCTTCTTTTGTTGCAGTGCATGGGCTCTAGGTGCATGGGCTTCAGTAGTTGTGGCCTGTGGTCTCTAGAGCGCGGGCTCAGTAGTTGCGGTGCACGGGCTTAGTTGCTCTGCGGCATGTGAGATCTTCCTGGACCAGGGCTCAAACCTGTGTCCTCTGCATTGGCAGGCGGATTCAAAAGCACTGCGCCACCAGGGAAGTCCCTATATACTGTTTTGAATTTTACTTTCTCCAGTGCATACTTTCCCAGTTCGTAATAGGAACCACTTGATCATGTTAACTTCTTTTGCAAATACTTTTGAATAACTATGCAAGGACCCATAATAACAGTGTTGGAAAATTCACTTAACCAATTCCCTTGTTGGTGTTAAGATTATTATGTATTTTTTGCCACTAAAAATAATACAGAAATGATCATCAGCTTGTCCTCATCTCTGATTATTTATTTTGGAAAGGTTATTGGAAGTGGCATTACTGGGTCAGAAGATGTGTGTGTTTTAAGGCTTTGATACGTAAGTTCTGCCAAATGGCCCTGGAGGAAGGTCGCACCTGCATCCATGCCCACTGGCAGGGTTTGAGCATTCCTGTCTCCGTGTACCTTTGCCAGCCGGTGTATCTTTAAAAAATCTTTTCTGCTTTTATAGGCCAAAACTTTCATTTTTACATTGCGTTTTTTTTTTCTTTAAGTCAAATTTTCTTTAAATTCTTCCATCCTGAGTGAAGAGAAAGGTAGCCTTCTGGTCTTTTTGATGTATAATTGAGCAGTGTTGTTCTGGGTATAGATGAGCTTTCACATATCATACATTTTTCCAGAAATCTAGGTAGTTTCAGTCTCAACTAGTTCTAATCATAAACAGCAGTGTTGACTTTAATTTCTTCCTATTCTCCTCTCCTTTGGTTTTATCAAGATTAAAGATTGCTGATGAACTGAATTAAATGCACGGGCGTTTTAATGATCAATAATTATATCTGTGCTGATAACTTTCAGATTCAGGGTTATTTAATGAAGAGTTTATTTAAGAGTTTTTTAGATGGTAGTTTGTCCCATTCATTCCTGAGTAAATTGCAGAAGCACCATGATAATATGTGTGTATAGCATTTAGAGCTGTGATAACTGTTAACAGAAGTCAGTGTATTAGAAACTCAAACAAACTCACTTCTCTGGTAAAAAGAATATCATGGTTGTAAAAGCAAAGCCTTTTTTTCCCTGATGTTTAGAGTGAAGATCGACACTGTCATTAGTCTTATCAAATTTGTTTCTCATTAAATTCTGCAGATTAAATGGGAGGGGGTAGGGTCTCAGTGGTAAAGCTCAGTTGCCAAATCCTGTTTTCCATCTCCTCTCCATTTGAAATGGCTTCCAAATTTATTTTTTAGAACTATGACTAGCTCTAATTTGGGCTATCAATTAAAATCTTGCATCTATCCTTTGGACTCCTAGAAATTTGCAAAAACATTTTGCAAACAAATGTTTGCAGAAACATTTGCATCTGTTATGCAACTCCCAGTGTCCTTCCAGTTCATTCTGCACAGTTCTGGACAAATGCTTTTCCTAAAGCACAACTTTATGTGTGTCTCGTGGACTCAAAAAGTTTCGGCAGCTGCCCAATGACTAGCAAAGAAATCAAGGTCCCTCCATTTTTCTTGCAAGGCCAAGCTTAATTATTGTCTCTAACATGAAGTCTTCTTCATATAAGACCCACAGAACTCATAGTCAGCACTTCTTCCTCTGACTCCTGTAAGACTCAATGACTGTTATGATACCTGTCATACCCTACTTCCCTGGGTGTTTTATGTCTACTTCTGTGTCTCCAGCTAGACTGACATACAATGTTGTGTTTAAATAAGTCCAAAACTATTGCATAGCTTAGGAAAAACATGGCAGATGTCAAAGATGCTGAAAGAGAATGCTGAGAAAATATTCTGCTTTTTGCTCCACCTTCTTAGATACCGAGGCTCATCCTAACCACTGCCTCTTATTCCAGAAGCTTGCATGGTAATTTGTAGCTAGGATTCCTAAGGGTGTTGAATACCTCATGGATCTGTCTGGTCATGGCTTCAGTGTTGTCTAGGGTTAGCCTTCCCCTCCTGAGCATTATTCTTGAAGCAGTAGTTGTATTCAAATTTGGTCATATTATTTGTCACCTTTTGTTTGTTATCAGTGTACTTCTGTGGTGACTTGTGATTATTCTTGCTATTAAGTTCCAAGTCAGGCAGGTTCAGTAGCTGTCCTTGGAAATGACATGAGTAGATCTTGGTTTGAGTGGAAAGCACAACTCCCCCTCCCTGCCAACCCCCCATGTCTTTTGGGGGGAAAACTTGGAAGTTTTAAAAATCTTTCTATTGATGTTGCCAAGTAGCAAGTGGCTGTAATTAGCCATGGAGATTATAGAAAACTGGGAAGGAAATGCTTGATTTAAATAACATTTAAAAAGTAACAACAAGATGTAAATCACTATTTCATGTACGTAACATCCTTTTTTTATTTTTTCACTCCCTCTAGGTTACAGTTCAACAAACATGGTGTATTGCGGGTAGAAGGCTTCTTAACACCAAACAAGTATGACAGTGAAGCAATTGGCTTGTGGTTGCCTTTAACCAAAAATGTTGTTGGGACTGATTTGGACACAGCAAAGTATATCCTGGCCAACATTGGAGACCACTTCTGTCAAATGGTGATTTCTGAAAAGGAAGCTATGTCAACTATTGAGCCACACAGTAAGAGCATCTCTTAGGGGGTAGGATTTTTGAGTCCAACTTGATTTTTGTTCCTAAATGACACCTAAGTCCTAATTGTATGGATTTCATTTTCACCCAGAAGTGTAGATGACTTTGGTATAATGAAGTTGCATTTTTCCTTTTGTAACAGATTCTGCCTGTTGATTTCATCAAAGTCAGTGATCTATCTGTGGGGTTTGTTTCAGGGCAATTACTAAATTTTTTGTTAAGGACGGTAAAGGTGAGGTGGCGGTGGAATTTGCATAGCCTTACCAACAAGTGTGGACTCACCAAAAGGGGGTTATTTTAAGACAAAGGTTCTTAAGAAAACATTTCAAAGAAGATAATGGACAGGCTGTACCCTAGACCTACTGAATCAGGGTCTGAGGAGGCTGGGACCCAGGCATGAAAATGGGAACAAGCGCAGATGAAAATGATTCTGTTAGAGTCAAGGTTTTCAGGGAAAACTTGGAGGTTCCAGCCAGGTGTGCAGTAAACCACAGAGATCAGTGTGGGTGACACATTAGAGCCAGACCTCCCTCATGACATCTCAAGGTACGGTGTCGAAGAGGACAGCACACCTCTTGTCTGTGTGCCCTTAGAAGTGAGATATCCACCCAGAAGCACCAAGGGGCATCTGTCTTTTTAAGTCTCACACTTTGTTCCATCATTTTATCTTTTCCAAATGGTGGCAAGTTAAAAGTGAAGCGTTTCCATCCCTCTGGTAGATATCTTTTCAGACTTTGCATAGCCAAATATGTTTCAGTATAAGCATCCACACATCCTGATCTTAAGAACTTTGGTTGTAGGCCCCAGGAACTAACTGAAGCTGGCTTACGCACCACAATCACTTACTGGATAAGTTTGAACACTGTTATATCTCAGAGTCCAAGGAATGAGAACTGACATTCCCAGGAGCGGGAATTCAGATCTAGGTGGGGTATGGGATTGTGAGCTCCATGGGCAGCCAGAGTCCTGCTAAAGTGAAGAGCAGCTTTATAATCACTGTTCTGTTGGGGTAGTAGAGACTCTGGTAAGTCAAGAATCGTATTAAAGTTGTTTTTCCTATAATCTATTTAGGACAAGTGATACTGGTTTTCCATTTTCAGTAGAGATACAAAAGTTTTCTTCTTGTATACTTTTAAGTAAGAGAAGATGTAAAGAAAAGTTCTTAAGTAACTGGTCTAGAGGTAGTATATGAATGACTGGGTTGCAAAAACAATTTTTTGGAATGTATTAGTAGCTTCCTGAATCGGAAGGGCTGTTTTAAGCTACTGATGTTTTTTCTTTGCTCAAGGTGAGTCGTCTGAAAAATGTGTCCTTAAAGATGTAATTGTGATTAATGTTTCCTCCTTGCCTATTTGATTATCCTGTTCCTCTTTATTTCCTCTGTGACAAGCTGGTCAGCTGGAGAGAGGAACTCACTGTGAGTGATACTGAAAGATGCCACCACAAGGTGTCGCTAGAGAGGGGGGTGGAGGGTACCCTCTGATCCTGAGATTAGGAAGCAGGTCTCAGCTTTTATACATTTATTCTGTCTTTTCAATGACAAATGATCATTAAATAGGTGGCTAAGAGATCTAAGACTACTCTCTAATAAAAAGTCTAATCCAAGTGACCAAGGTGAAGTTCATAAAATCTCATGTGTAAAACGCCTCAACTTCTATGTATTGTGCACTGAGCTTTTACATTGTAATGAAACGGCAGAGGCTCACTCAGCAGTTGGATTAGCTTAAAGCAAACTGAAGTTAGTCATTTCTTTTGTGGGCAGTCTGAAGAAAGAAGTAACCACTGACTGGATTAGGAAAAGATGTTCTCCGTAGAACACGAATGTGACAGTATTGATCCTGTCTTGTTCGAGAGAGAGACAGACAGAAAACAGTCTTCTGATCAGCAGACGTTGGGCTTTTCTGTGACGCAGGAAAATGTCCTCCCTTTGCTCTTACTCCTTGAAGCTTTCTAATGCCGTATGTGGCACTCCTCCATGGTCGGGGGGTGGGGTACGATTTCCTGCCCAGTCCTGGAAGGCCCCTCTCTCCAGTTTTCGGGGTTTGGCCACTGGAACAGAAGATGCTACTTCATAGAATTCGTGATTGTGCCTCAATCTGTTGGTGCTACTTGGTTAGTATGAGTCGGTCCTGGGTGCCTGCATCACTCCTGGCTCTAAAAATTGAGTTTCCGACACTGGCCTATGACGGAACCGACTTTGGACCATTGTGCCCCCCACTAGTTAATGCGCTGCTCCCACCAGGTTTCCCTCAGCGCCCTGGGGTTTTTAATGGGCAGTCTGAGTGGTTTCGGGGCATCTGTGAATAACCTGACACTCGACACTGAAGGTTGGGTTTGTGTATTTGAGTCAATTATTTTTCCTTTGGAGAAAGCATGGTCTGTGTTGCCTTTAGAGTCTCAGACGGTCTCATGACCCAAAATGTGAAGAACCACTGCTCCTTTATACTTGTGTCCGAACTCCAGCTTGTGTAACTAATGCTGCTTTTTTCACTGACTTACTCAGCAGGACTTAACTATGCAGAGCTCCTTGGAGGGTGGGGTGGGGTGTGGGGATAGGGTACAGCCTGAGCAGGAATTCTGCTTGCACGGAGTTTAGTCTCCTACAGGGAAGTAAAACTGCACCTGACTGCGTACAGTGTGAAGAGGCCTGAGTCTGAAGTACAAATACAAGTTGATGGGAGTGCTGAAGGAATCCAGGAGGGCTTCATGGCGGTGGTGGGGGATTTGAGATGGGCTCTGGAGGCTGAACAGTTAATGGGAACTCCAGTGAGAGGGAGGAATGGCATCAGCTCCCCTCCCACTTCATGTTTTATTTCAGGAGGCCTCTCGTCCCCAAGACTAAGTGATTTATTGATTTTTGTAGGACAGGTTGCTTGGAAGCGAGCTGTCAAAGGTGTTCGAGAAATGTGTGATGTGTGTGACACCACCATCTTCAACCTGCACTGGGTGTGTCCTCGGTGTGGGTTTGGAGTGTGTGTGGATTGCTATCGGATGAAGAGGAAAAATTGCCAACAGGGTGAGAACTGACTTGACTCTTCTCCAAGCCCCTTATACTCTTAAATTAAGCCTTTCATTGGTTTGTGGTTGATGGATTTCTGAAACTTTTGGGACCAGAGTCCATAAAGAGCAATTACTACAAATCAGTTATTTGCAGGCGCTGCCTACAAGACTTTCTCTTGGCTGAGATGTGTGAAAAGCCAGATACATGAACCAGAGAACCTCATGCCTACGCAGATCATTCCTGGAAAAGGTATTTTGTGTGGCGCAGTGCTTTTCCTTTCCCTGTGTTTTGGGTATCATAGGGGCTGGTAGTTCGGTTTTACTTTGTGTAGTACAATCACTTGCTGACTTTATTTTAGTATGTACCATAAATTGTCGAGTAATGTATTAAATAATGTCCCCAAACTTTCTGGTAAAGGCCTTGTAAATAGTTTTGTAAAAGGAAAGAAAATGGCACATTTGGGGCAAGGCATACTTAGGACGTAAAGGGGGGAGTTGTAAGCACCCTAAAAAAAAATGCTGCTAAAAAAATGTTATCCTGTTAGAAATATAAGCTTTTGTTTTGTAATGTTGAGGTTGAAAGTACCTAATATCCTTGTTCAGATGTTTGCCTGTGCCCTTTTTTTTAGCCCTCTATGATGTTGGAGACATTGTTCATTCTGTAAGAGCAAAATGGGGAATAAAGGCAAATTGTCCCTGTTCAAACAGGCAGTTCAAACTCTTTTCAAAGCCAGCCTCAAAGGAAGACATAAAACAGGTATTACTGTTTATGCTAGATTCACGATCCTGTGCTTGTTGTCTGTCTGTTTTCAAATAACCCAAGGATTCCTGTAGCATATTTGAAAGGAACATGGGGAGAGCTGTCAGTGGAAAGAGATAGTTCATGGTTCACGTGATATTTTATAGACCCATTCTCAAGTTGCACATTATTTTTGTGGGCCTCGTTTGTAGCCTCTTTGACTAGGCTTTTAATTTTGTTCCTTGAAAAAGCAAAACCCTTTTCTATTATAGTCTACCTAATAAGTTGCTGTCAAATTTGTATAGGTTTTTTAACTTCTCATGTTTTACACAGTAAAAATTATTCAGATAAGCTTTACAAATTTTTTAATTACTGACTATGTTTTACCCATAATATATATGAAGAATTGAAGGAAATAATCCTGAAACAAACCTTTACGTAGCTCTCACTCCACATAAAAAATGTACATGTCCTTGGTGCTCACATGCCTCTTCCTGGTGACATTCCCTTAACCTTCACCATCCCATCTACCCCCCAACTGTCTCCCTTTTTCTTCCTCACCCCAGTAATCATTATCCCACATTGCTTTTAGTAATCAGAAATTAGTTTACATTTTCATAAAGCTGTGGTGTTGAAGGCGGCATAGGTAGAAGAGTTTTGATCTTTGTAGTCAGGACTGAATTTGAATTCTTTTTCTGCCACTTTGCAGTTGTGTAACTTTGGCTCAAATGAACTGATGTATATATGCTTCAGCTTCCTCATCAGTAACAGAGGAATAGTAAACAGCGCTGGTAATCGGGCATCACAGAATTATATCACATGTAAAGTGAGGGCCTGGACCACAACAGGAATTTGACTCTCCTTTTTCCTTCTTATGTATGTATAGACGCACTAGCTGAGTTGTCAAGGCAGTTTTTTAAGTAATAGAAAAATAAGTGGTGTGTTCTGTCTGTCCAGTTTTTGTTGTTCTTGTTCAGTTTATGTTTTGAATTCTTTTTAGGGCTGTTCATCAATTTTTTTTTTTTTTTTTTTTTGCGGTACGCGGGCCTCTCACTGTTGCGGCCTCTCCCGCTGCGGAGCACAGGCTCCGGACGCGCAGGCTCAGCGGCCATGGCTCACGGGCCCAGCCGCTC